GCTCTTTGCAGTTTGGAAAGAGTCCTCATAAACCTCCTTCTCTTGTGCCCAGTTTCATTTTTTTTGAATAAAATTGTTTGAAGTCAACATTGATGACAAAACCATTAGGAAAAGCTGCTGTAATAGTTATTGTCCCTGCCAGAGTACTGTCGTTACTGTTGTTGCCAGAGTAAAGGTTTGAAATTAATAGAGAGCGGTGATACAGTCTTTAGCTCTAGTTACTTTAATTCTTACGGACAAATAAGCCCAATATCACGGTCATAAAATCCTAAAGTAGGTGTTAGTTAAGGTATTAGTCATAATAATGACATTTGATATAATCATGTGTCGAAATGTCTCAAAGCGCTTCACAAGTCTTTACTGTGAAGTCTAGTAATGACTGTGTGTTTTGCACTCAAACGTAGCAGCCAATTTGCACACAACAATTTGGCAACTGACCGACTGCACCAAGCAAGGCATCCCTTTATACCCTCTCTTTATTCCCACTGGTCCACATGAACCTAAACACGAGGCAGAACCACGGGTAGAGCCAAGTGCAGTTAAGGACCACCCTCCCCCATCCCTCCGAAATCCCCCCCAAGTTCATTTTCTTCTCCTTTCTATTCTGGTCCCAAATGTGCTCCAGCCAAAGCCATCACGAAATTGGAAACTAATGTAAATTTAGTTGCTAAACTCGGTGATTGCACGAGTCCGACTCTAAGCCTGAAATATGCAGTCCTGTAACTGTAACGCATCCCCTCAGAAAGGTTCAGGTTCCTGGTGCCAAGCCGTCAGGACCTTCTGAGACAGCAGCCATCAAACCCAGCTCTCATTATGTGTTTACTGCGATGTCGAGGGCCTGTCTTTTTATCACATCAAAAACTTTGGTTTCTTTTGCACTTCTCTTGTAATAAAGCTGTGTAAGATTTAAGGCTGAAAAACAAACAAACCTCAAAGAGTAGCAATAAAGTCCTTCTACTTGCCGGACTGAACTAGTGTCTCGGACAATTTCTGTACGAGTCAATTAGTCAGTAACCTGATCGCAGCTGCTGATGGTTTCTGTGTCCCAGTTAATTTCATGGTATTTCATTAAGTCAGTAATGCGATAGCTACTGGTGTGGCACGTTCCTATACTGAACAATCAGCAAGAGAAGAAAATGGAAAACACAGATCCCAAGCAAATACCAAACTGCTTAGACAGTTTGAACCGTGCCTCAAATAGGAATGGGGCGGGAAGCTCAGTGCCCCCGATTGCGTTGAGTTAAGTCATGGTTCCGATGCAATGAACTGCACACAACGCCAACAAAACACGATCTGATCAAATGGAATAAAAGAGAATTTCACCCACGTTCAGTCAGCACCAATCTGTGAGACGCAGTTGGAGTCAACAACAATAACAACGTTCATTTATATACCACTCTTCACGTGGGGTAGCGTCCTAGAGCATTTGACAGTAGCAGAGTCTGACAACGAGCCGGGAGGGGAGGAGGGAGAGGGGAGGTGACTGTGAGCGCGATCAAAAAGGAAGGTCTTGAGGAGAGAGTTTGAATCGTGCCTTAATGGGTCTAGTCAAGGCTAACCATTGTTGATAGACCACCTCTCTATCCATAAAGACAGGATCCAGTCTTCTTCCACTTGGCTCAATATCTGCCATTTTAGGAAACAAGGACAGTATTTTTGCTCAAAGGATTACGTACACTTTTGCAGTTTTAAAATAACATGTTGGGGTGACCACATTCCCCAGCAGTTGAGTGCAGTTGACGTGGTGACTTTTTTATTATTATTATTTGCTGGTTCTCACTGAAGGAACAGTGTTGACTTGTCACTGTTGGACTTCTATTGAGAGGATGTTAACATGATAGACAAAGGCCCAAGTGAAACACGCCTCAAATAGAATGGGTGGGCACTGCTCGGCACAACAATACAATGCTCGAGCCCCCGAGACCATTGAAGGGCAAGATGTGGTTTGCTCTCACTGTGATGGTGACATCAGAAATAGCCAGAGATTAAAGAGAGAGAAAGAAAGAGTTAAAAGTAATGCTCAATACGTGAGTGACATACTTCAGAGCACTGGAAAAGCCTGGAGGATTCTCCCGTCTGGCTTCGTGTTCAGGGGATGCTGTAGAGTTTGGGTAAGGAAGGGGGCGGAGGAAGCCGTGAAGGGAAACAAATTCAAACACTGTCCAGAATCTTTCTTAACCACAATATTTGCACCAAAAGCGCCCTCTTCAACTATTTTATTGGGCCGATACATTTCAAACGGTAGATTATTCGAATCGACGCAAACCAAACTTTGACTGGAAAATAGTTTCCTCGGAAACATTTATGAGATTAGCAGAGCATTGAGCAGCAGAGCAACGGGAATAACAGCCTGGTGTACAGCAGTGATCCTACAGCAATAACAAGGCAATCGGCAGCGTTCAAATGGGAATATAAAAGCCACAGAAACACAGATATCTTCACACTGATGCTGCAGGGAACAAGGAGTAGCACTTTGAGGGGGGCACAGGACCTGAGGTGCTGTTACAGCAAGTGCCCACCTTGCATTCTTGTGGTTTCAGATTCCAGGCCAATGTGAACGTCAATCCAATGTTCCTTCCAAAAAAGGTTGCAGAATAAGAGCTAGCCATCTGCTCTTGGCAGGCTCTCCGCCCACGCACTGCGAGCCAAGTTTGAAGCAGTTAAGTTGCCTGAGGAAGAAAAGTTTTTCGCTCTGCAACAGGCAGACTGTCAGAATCACATTTCGAGTGGAAATCAAATTAGGCAAATTAAAGGGGACACTGGCGTTCTGCAAGACGCTTTTTCAGCTGTGCAAACATCGCAATGTAAAACAGCAGATGTGACACAGCAACAGCACCATGTCACTCGGTGTGTCTGCTCCAAACAACAACAACAAATAAATTTCGTGAATTTACTGAAGGGGAAAAAAGCCGCCTTCAAACATTTGTGGCGTAGGGGATTCGAGTGTTTCTGCAGCACAGTTATTTAAGCAACAAATTGATGTTGGAATAGGAATAGAGAAATGGTTTGGATTCTGGAGAAACAAACATAGACCTAAGGGCAACATCATCATAAAATACCAATAACACTTTCAATTTATATAGTACCTTTTGTCGAACCAGTCTCCTTAGTGTATGCATACAGCACCTTGGGACATCCTCCCGACATGAAAGGCACTACACAAATGTCATTTGTGTTGTTGTTTCTCCCTCACAAAAATACTGCTCGATACCATTAAGTGGTTGTGTATTGTATAATCTTACAACTCATTCCAAATCCTTAACTTCCTTCGTTACACTAATGCCACGTTTGACCCGGTATTAAATACTCCTGATTGAAGTGACTTTCAAACTGTATGTACTTTGCACATATTCTACCTTGATGTCCTTTATCAATCTGCATAGGTAATAAGTTATCAAACCCGAAGGGCAGGAATGGTAAGTGTATGGCAAAATCATTATTATTAGGCAAACAATAGTCCCAATATTTCATATCTTTTTGCGTGGCTAATACTTCCAATCCGGGGAATATTGTATCCTCTGGCTAGAAATAAAGTTTCCCACAAAAAGGGCTTTCGAAACATACAAATAATTATATTTATTATTTTAAAGTCTGTCCAGAATGATTCACGTTTCACAATAGGCCAGTCTCAGCCCACAGCTGAAAGGCTGATGTTTGTACATTGGAGTGTGAGTCCAACACAAACCTCAATCCAAACACAAGGAGTCCAGTCGACAGTGCAGTGTTTCAGTGCTGGACTTGGCTCCAGGCAAAAAATCTAAAACTCATGTCTCCTAGTCAAGAGGTCAGTGTCTCAATGTTATGGCTACTCTGTCTCATCGATACTCCTATAATAGTATAAAACTCTTAATCCGCTGGAACAAACCATTTTTGAGGACAAAAAAAAACGTTTTGCCCACAAATATACGACCAATTCACTTTACAGTATATTCTGTGAAGCACTTTGAGACGTCGAGAAGACATAAAAAGCGCTATATCAAATGCAAGGCTTATTATTTTTATTTAAAACTCCTAGGAACATAAAAGTATTCCCCTCCTCCTCACACACACACACAGGTTTGGGTACAATTTTAAATCAGAAAAGAATAACACTGACCATTATGGAAAGCAATTGACTGACACATTTCGCCCACAAAATACAGTCAATTCATTTTACAGTATATTCTGTGAAGCGCTTTGAGACGTCTCAACAATGCAATGAGGCTCTGTATCAAATGTAAGGATTATTATTTATTGTTAAAGCGGCGAATACATAGTATTCCTGCTGCACACATGTCTCTCCTATTATACAGCCCCTTTGCCTTGTTTTGATGGAGGAGGTTTGGAGATGCTGCTTTTGTTTTCAGATAGTAACACAACGTAAATCTAGCTTTTTTGAACAGACAACTAACTCCTCACTATTCCAAGTGGGCATGCAATCAATTTTGGCCAAGGTTCAAGTACGTTTATACTGAGAACAAATAAGAATCGTTGCATTTGGTATAGAGTCTTATCACGTTGTCGAGATGTCTCAAAGCGCTTCACAAGATATTCTGTAAAGTGCATTGAGTATGCTTTTTGTTAGGTGAAAAGCATGTGTAATGTTTTTTGCACAATAAATCTTTTTTTGGCTTTCACTATGTAACAGAGAAACTATGCAGCACTGACACAAGGTAAAAGCCCCAAAAAGATTTATTTGGCAATTATGTAAGTTAAGTAAGATAGAACAGTATTGGTAGGAAGCTAAAAGTTAACGTAATTGTTCTGATGCTTGAAACATTGCCTGATGTCTCAATCCCATCCCTGACTGCTGCAGGTAATAATAATCCTTGCATTTGATATAGCGCTTTTCACGTCTTCTCGACGTCTCAAAGCGCTTCACAGAATAGACGATAAAGTGAATTGACCGTGTATTTGTGGGCGAAGTCATCCATGTGATAGGAATCGAATTGACTCGAGTCAGAAAATCTTCTAGGTGCTGCATATTCCTTGAACTCAGGAATCTTTACGTCTCTTTGCAGGATTGCGACCAGGTTCACATCGATGACGTGTCTTCGGATGACAATGGGCAGGACTTGAGGTGAGCAGTTTGCTGAAGCTAAACCCATTTGTGCGGACGGTTTGATTCTCTGTTGCCGGCTGTGTGTTGTGGCTAAGGAATTGAACAGATGGCACTAACGTATCTTCCTCTCTCCTCCCACTCAGCACATATAACTTTGCCACAGACGGCTTCCAAGCCGCAGCAGTCAGTGGGAACCTGTGTATAGGGTCTGGGGTGCATGGAGGTGTGGACTGGATGAGGAAATTAGCATTTCGCTACCGTCGAGTAAAAGAAATGTACAACACTTACAAAAACAACGTTGGGGGCAAGTATACAACAACAAATTACATTTGTATAATCGTGGGCGGCCAGACATTTTGTTTGATTCTGGGCTAAATATCTTGAATGGACTGCTGTACAGTGACAAGCGATGGGCCTCTGCATTCTGAGTTAAACCTGCTCTCATTCTAGCCTCTTCGTCTCGTGTTCATTCCAGGTTTGATAGGAACGCCCAAGAGAGAGGTGTGGTTGCAGCTGAGAGCAGACATGGAAGCGCTAACTGACTTGTGGCTGACACATGCACTGAAAGCACTCAGTCTAATTAACTCCAGGTAAGAGACTGCCAAGCGATTTCATCACTGGACATGGCCGGGTGTGGTCTGGTCTGGTCAAGATAGAGACATGGAGCAGGTGCAGGGCTTGATGGAACCTGTGAAAATCCCAAATGCAATCACAGAAGATTGTATTGAGGATACGAGAGATTCCCTCAAAGCTGTAGATATATCACAATGGATAAACCTCATTTTGATAGGGTTGCCCTCAACCATTGAATTAATTAGTGTCTCAACAAAGTCAATAGGAGGTATTGCCTCTTGTAATATATCTGACTCATATGGACAGCGCTATGTTTTATTAGGGACACCCTGGTCACTGCTGATGGACATTTCACAAAAATTGTCTTTCTAAAGATTTTGTATCTGTTGTTTTTTTACAGATCAAATTGTGTGAATGTTCTGGTAACAACAACACAGCTTATACCCGCCCTCTCCAAGGTATTGTTATATGGACTTGGTACCGTTTTCCCAATAGAGAATATTTACAGCGCCACTAAAACAGGTAAGCCAATCGGAATTTGAAAGATTCCATATTGAATATCATTTTGACTTCTACGTAATTTGCACCTCGTGTAAGTTGAGGTACAACCCAAGTTGAAGCAAAACTGAAGGTAAATTGATGACAGGCTGGATGCTGACTGTCTGACATTGGTCTGTATTGAGTTCCAAACTTGTGGTGAGCGAAGCTGGTGGATAATTGGGTGCGAAAGTGACCAGTGTTAAGACAAAGTACAGGGGGGCCAAATAGTCCTGATAACTACCCTATTATCTACATTTAAAAAATCATCTTTTTTTTAAGATTTACTAGACATTGTAATGGTACCACAACTTTTTGGTCACCCTGAATATTAAACTGAAAGTACGCAACTGATTAGAATGAACCAGATATAATTAATTGGATCAAGGCAGAGAAAGATACACTTCAGCCCAGCAAATTGATCGATCTGAACCCAGCTGTTCTGTGGTTGACAATTGATTGAAAGCAGTTAATGGGAATCATGGACAGTGATACCTTGTGCAGATATCACTGTCCATGATGAGTGTGTTTGCACGTTTAAGAACATAATAACGTTTAGCATTCTAAATACAGTATTGAGCTGTCCCAGTCTTATTCAACAGCAGAACTCATTTTTAAAAAATCAAATACAAAGTTGAATATTTTTCAGGAAAAAAAAACACTTTGATGTTAGAGGAAGATGGGAGGAAGCAGGGTTGGGAGGAGAGGAGATGAGATGGGCTGAATGGCCTTCTTCATCCGGATCAATCTTGCAAATTGGTCAAGTTTTTGCAGCTTTCTAGGAATGGAGAGATACCTTTTTTGCTCTGTTTTTAGGGAAGGACAGCTGCTTTGAGAGAATAGTTCAAAGATTCGGAAGGAAAGCAGTTTACATCGTGGTGGGAGATGGTGTTGAAGAGGAACAAGCAGCAAAAAAGGTAAGTTCAGATGTGGATATTCTCATTGCCCACATCTCCTGGTGAATGGTAGTGTATTCGACTCGTGCGGACTCAAATTTGACTGACCAATCATCACATCTTGTAAAATGCTCTTGAGGATTTCCCCCCCGCTACATGCGACATACATGGATGATCATATTGAGGGTAATAGTGTTGCACGTCTCATGTGGATCAGGCAGGGACATGGAGCAGGACTGTGCTCGCTGAGGGAGAGTCCAAGAAACATGAAAGAGAAAAAAAATCCTTTCTCCTAGAGTCAGCACCCGAACCAACTGAGCAAACACAGGAGACTCAACTCTAACAGGCTTCAGTGACTGTTTAAAGAAGGATCTGAAGTGGCCTCTTACCGGTGTCTCCTGGTGTGAATGCCGTGTTTGTATAGTGAAGGCATCGCATGAAGAGCAGGCTGTGGACCTGTCTGTCGCTGATTGATGGCAATGACGGACCCAGTTACACACACCTGAGCCACAGGATAAAGAAGGGAGATTTTCACTGTATAAAACTAACTGTTGCTGTGAGCAGTGACGATATCTCACACTAAGTCAATATTCTCATTGCCCACATCTGATGAATCGGTGGCTGTATCAAATGCCGTTATCATTAATGATAACAATTGATGATTAGAAAATGAGTCGGAAGCAGAGAAATAGATGCTTAGAAGATGAAAGGCTGCAAACAGTTCAAGTGTGAAAGTGATTCATTCACATTGGAAACCTGTTTGAACATGCAAAATAAAACACCTTTTCTTTATCAGATGCTTTTGGCTTCTGATCAAGCAAACCCAGAGCTGGTCATGTTTGGAAACAACACAGCGATAGAAAAGTGGTGTTGAAAAGAATACAAGTGACCTATTAAGATTAGGAAATGCTTCCCCGCGCCCCCGGCTCTAACAGGGATCGATCGTTCCATTTGTGTTCCCATGGCTCATTTGTTGTCATTATTTGTACAATTGGCTGCCGCGTTTCACCTACAGAAAATACAGTCACTCCACTATACAGTATATTCTGCAAAGTGCTTTGAGACGTCGACGACATGACAAGGCGCTGTGTAGAAATGCAAGAATTATTATTGTTGATGATTTCACCAAACGCTGTGTGTGTGTGTGCGTTCCTTTGCAGAACAACATGCCATTCTGGAGGATCTCCTGCCACGCAGATCTGGAGGCTCTTCGGCATGCCCTCGAGCTCGAGTACTTGTAGCGAGAACACCCCCAGCCTCACCCTCACTCACTGACTGTGGCTCTGATGCGTGGATGATACAGTGACATGTGCTTTTGTCTTAATCTTCCCGGGAAAAAAAAATGAAACTGGTTTCGGAGTATGTATAATAAGGCCTGTTGCTCAACGGAAAAAAATTCAATTGATTTAATGCCACTGCACCAGGTGTTCGTCATGGAAATTTGCCTTTATTGGAAAGACTAAACCTGACCTGATGTTAACTACAAAGTCAAACAAACCCTTCTCCTTCTTCTCCTTCTGCTGGTCAAGACTTCACTTTCGACCCCGAGACACAACAGAGACTTTTAGTTACCGGCAGCGTGGTACAATCACTGTTTTTTATAGTTCTTTCTATTTATGAGCTGTTGCGTTCCCCCAACTTGATTGTGCTGCACGCGTGTAAAGCACACTCACCTCAAAAGGAAGATAAAGTTCTTATTTAAAAAAAACTGCTATTGCTAAGACAATCAACAAAAGACAAATAATCTTTTTTGTGTAAATTTGTAATCTTGTGGTATTTCTCTCTCTCTCTCTCTCGCTCGCTCTCCTCTCTCTGATACTGTTAAAAGTTGTTTTCAATAGTAACTGCAAATAGCAATCTGTGAGTGTTTTTATTAATAGGTGCTGTGTGGACTGTGCATGTGTCTACACTCTGCCTCACACCACCGACTTGTCGATCAATATGTGCGGATATAGTACTTTTGTGACAGCAAAATCTTGTGGTTAAATGGCATTGAATAAACAAAAGATTTGAAATTTTTAGAGGTCTTTTGAACATAGTCACAGGCGGGCAAACTGGTAAGTCAAATGGTTGGTTGGAACTGAAAGGGAGACATGATATGTGCAGTAGTAAGTGAATTCACTGTCAACGTTTGACCCCAATAACTGAGTATTGAGAGGGGAGGCATCAAGGTGATTTAAATTGGTTTAGAATTGATAATAGTATAGTGAGCCATAAGGATGCCTCGATGTACATATTCTAAGACAGGGTAACAGAGAAAAAAACAAGCCAAGGGTTAACTTACAGACACCAAAGGTGGTATTGGGTGTGTGGTCGTATGGTGATGCTTCACCCAAGTTACGGTAGGACTGGATCTTGAATCCTCTCAGTCCTGAGGCTCAATTGGACACATGTAACCTCGTCCACTCTGCGGCAATAACAGAAGCTGAACCAGCTCGGGCCCCACTGCCCTCAACTGCATTCAGCAATGAGGAGCAGTCACTCACTCACCCACAATCCCCCGTGTCCTCAGCAGCCTCGTCTCCTCAACATGAGGCAGCTCAGCTGGGCCTGTTCCTGCCATCAAACCATCTTCAGCTGCTCTGTAGCCAACAATTCTTTTAATCAGTGGAATCTTCAGGCAATTGAGAAAATAAAACAACAGTAGCTGCTCCTGATCTGTGGCCCACATTGAACTGAAGACCAGAATTCCACCCCCACCCACTTGTGCCAAGCGCCAAGATTTCACAGGCACACTTCCCTCCCCACAGACTCACTGATGTTTGATGTGCGAGCAGGAAATTATTGCCGAGTGCAGTGGGAGTGCTCTTCCGTGTGCAGTACCTGGGCTTCATCGATAACAGTGGGATTGATTGACTTTGCCCGTTAGACTTTCACCACAGTCACTACACTTTACAGTATATCTTGTTAAACGCTGTGAGATGTCCTCCCAGTGTGAAAGGCTCTGTATCAAATGCAAGGGTTATTATTATTATTGCAACGCCTCCAGCAATGTTCAAATCAGTCATTACAAGTTTTACCACAATAACAAATTGCATTTATATAGCGCCCTAACAAAAGTGACGAGACGAGGACATAGTGACAAATGGGGGATATATCTACAGGATAGGATACACTATTATCCACCCAACTGTTACTCACCACCCTCATATAGTGTGAAAACATATAGATATTCTCTATGTCGAATATCGACTAACTCCTCCACATAATAAATTGCTCTGATTTCATTTTATTTTTCTAGTATAATCCCAGATTTGTGGGCTTTCGAGTGTGTAATAGCTGCACCTTGTTAGTAGTCACCGCTATCAGTTGCTGTTCATTAAATGAGTCCAGTGTTCAGTCCTTAACCTCCTAAACTGGTAATCTGTACCAGTTGTTGATTACTCCATGTCTAAAGCAATACCTCCTGGTGTTTGTCTTATTAAACTTGAAACAAAAACACTTTGAGATGTCCTCCTGATAGACACTACTGTATATCAATGTGAGTTGTAATGTAATTGTCTTGTAAACTTGCCCTTTATACAACCCCAAACCTGTGCCCTTTAATCCTTCTGCCTCGGTGTAAGTGAATGACTGAACCCCAAGGAAAGGAAGGTCTTAAAATCATTTCACTCTCAGCAGAACAAAAGACGCTCAGTGACGAGTATTAGACGACACTTTACCCAGCTGACACTTGGCCTTTCAGCCGGTGAATAAAGTACAAGGATAGACTGCAGAACTGTAACAGATTTGCCCTGAAAGGTAATGTACATTACACGGTCTGAATCCTCAGAATGTTCCACACATTGAATCCATGACCGTAATTAAGAGACAGCAAAGAAAAGCCCAAACGCTGAACCCAACAGATGGTAAAGTTGTGACAAGTCGTGAGGGTTACCCTGAGGGTGTCTTATGAATGGAGGTTATGAAACCGTTTAGGTGAAGCACTGAGACTCGGCCCTACAGCTGGCCTGAAAACCTACACACACACACACACACACACAACAAAAATCAATCTGGGAGTTTAACCCTTTTCAGAGAGGTCAACGTAACCTCTTAAAATCTAAACCTAAATGTGTTGGAACAGCTTCCCAAACCCTGTGAAGAATACAGTGACTGAAGTCCACACCTTTATGAACAGACCAGAATTCTGTACGTGGTTTTAAGCTTGGCGATGGGTTTCCGCATGCGTCAGACACCCGGTTGACCTCCCAAAGATATACATACACAAGGATATATACGGTTTAATTGCTGACTGACTAATTGGTTGTGAATCTGGCTTTTGTTTTAACACTTTCTCAGCGCCATTGATTGAAAACTCCCTGATTCATTGTATGGCTCTTTTTGATTAATATCAGCTCTTGTGATAATAATAATAATAATAATCCTTGCATTTGATAAATAGTGCTTTAACACGTCTTCGAGACGTCTCAAAGTGTTTCACAGAATATACTGTAAAATCTAGTGGTTGTATATTTTGTGGGAGAGACTCAGCAGCCAATTGCGCACAACAGTGTCCCACAAACAGTCGTGGATTGAGTGACCAAATTCTTCTTATGTTTTTATGAGTCCATCATTTTCAGCACAGGATCGAGTGTGACAGCCTTGGGTTGGCTTAAGACAGTATTATTTATTTCTAAGGCTTTGGTAGAGAATGACAACCGCTCAGAATTTAAGCCTTTTCTATTTAAGCCGCTCCAAACAGTCTGTGTTGTCCCTGCAGAATCACTGTGTATTTTTAAAACAGTGCAAATAATGTTAATAGCAGGCATTTCTCAACACGTAAATTCTTACTGCCCTCTCCAGGAGAAACTTAATTCATGTGACTATCCAGGTCCACAATCTGGGATTAGTCGGTCTGAACAATAGATTTGCAGCCACAATTGAGAACAGACATGTACACGAATAGATAAATCTACGAGACACTAATGTCCCTATGTGGACATCATTTATCATCTCAGGAACAAAAGAGCAGTCACTCTCTCCTGCTTCTCATTGTGCCAAAGGTATCCGGCTGCCCTCCAGTTCACAGTAATGTATGTCGATGGCTGCTGCTGTGATGGTCGTCTGGTATCAGGTATAGACACACCAGTCAAACTGTCACATTACTGCATGCTACCTGGGGCTACAGACCCAGCAGGTCGGAGGAGACCTGCCTGAGCAGACTGTTCACATGATCCCTGCTGCTTCTGTGCTCATTCACACAGACTTACTTTTAATGGGGGTGGGTGGGGGTGGGGGTGGGGAGAGTTCTGACATCGTTTGTTAAGAGTCTCTAAGGATGGCTGGCCACAAAGAACACAATCTACTGTCAAAGAAGCCATCAACTGCAACGACAAGAGAGAGAGAAAAAAAACTATTTCAACCCATCACCACTTGTTGATTTTTTTTCCCATGCCATCAAAAGGAAGAAGAAACAAAGGGCCAAGGAGAGCACAATGAGGAGCATATCTTCATGTCAGATTGGCAGAGCTTTGCCTTCATGTGTTCTGGAAGATGTTGATGAGTTGCATTGGGTGGAGGTGGATAATGAAGTGAGTAAACTTGTCAGTGGTGATAAAAGCTCGACAATCTTGCTCAAGGCCAGATTTGGCTTCATCTCCAAATCTGCCAGTTCACATGAGGATGGATCACCGGGTCCAGTTCAAACACGAAGTGGGGAGAGGGGAAATAAATCACAGCCAGTAACCGTATAGCGAGCTTCCTGCTCTTTAGAAGTAAGGGAGGTGCAACAGTAGCAGAATTCTAACCGTGATAAATCATCAACGTGAATGTGGATTCATCTGAATAATATTTCAGATTAATCTTGGTCAGCGTTTGGGGGGAAAAAAATTGTCAGTTCGGGGTTGTAAGAGTTCACGAACTGCTTCTCCTCTATTCACAGAAAGAGAACTCAAGGGGATTGGGGAGGTAATGGAATTCTATTTGCCTTTTGCTCCTCAAAGCGATGAGATGAATTTAGGAAAGGGAAACGGGAATGGGAGACACTGGAATGTTGGACTCTCAACGCTTACTTTAAGGTGTTCAAGCACTTTATCTTCCAAAGGGGCTGGAGCGAATTCTCAGCAAAAGGTTCACATGGGAACACTGTGTCCAGTCCTTATGTATATATGTATGTATGTATGGTGCACACGCACACTGTATAAGTGCATTCCTCATGTACATTGTGCACGACATACATGTATTGCTCATTGTAGACACACAGTGTGCACTCCCCACACTGACTTTACCAGACTTTACTCTTTGTGCAAAGTTCTCACCTGTTTTTGCCCATTGTTGTTCCAATCCTATTTATCGGGGGGAAAAAGTAGAGGAGTCATACCTAATTATTAAGCGT